TGAATTGGGTTGAGAGAGAAATGTTTATTATAATTCTATTGATTGTGTTTGTCAAAATTTGCTGAGTACCCAGTAGGATCAGTTAAGCAATAGGATTCCCAGTAAAACAATCCAATAGATTTCTTCTGAATTTTTGAGCGTGTCTTGATGATTAAATAATGGGTGTTCTTATTAAAACATAACTATATAAATATTATCTATACTTATCATCTTATTTTATAGAGTTGTTTCTCAATTTCTTGATTCCAATTTTTTGTGTTAATTCTTTGACATGTTGCAGTTATAAAATTGTCTCCGCCAATTTCTGAGAATATTAGCAACAACACCTAATATTTTCTACTATACGTTTGGCTAAGTGTATTTTTTTTTTCTTATGAAAGATACTCTATAAGAAAAAAAAAAAAAAAAAAACACAATTCCACAGTCATACCACAAGAGGGAGCTCTAATTCTTTCCTGTTCTTACTAAAATAAATTTAGCTCCTGTTTAAAAATATAAAATGGAGAAAAACATTTTCTGACAATTTTCTTTGCAGAGGAAATGTAAACTCTGTCATATCCACAGAGCTTAAGATTCATCATAAGAAAATATTTTAATAAGGCATAACTTGATATAGTGCTGATTCTTTGATGCGTTTCTGAATCTTAAAAGCATATGTTATATAGCTTTTACATTTTACAAGCAGAATGGAATACAGAATAACAGAGTTGGAAGGTATCTTAGAGGTGCTCTGTCCAGTCCCTGATCAAGCAGGAAAACTATATCATTTCAGACAGATGGTTGTCCAATCTCTTCTTTAAAACATCCAGTATCCACAACTTCTAGAGGCAAGTTATTCCACCTATTAATTGTTCTAACTGTCAGGAAATTTCTTCTTAATTCTAGATTGGTTCTCTCCTTACTAGTTTTCATCCATTGCTTCTTGCCTTGTCTTCAGATGCTTTGGCGAATAAGCTTACCCCTCTTCTTTTTGGCAGTCCCTGAGATATTGGAACACTGCTATCATGTTACCCCTAGTCCTTCTTTTGATTAAACTAGGCATACCCACATCCTGCAACTGTTCTTATGTTCTTCTTATGTTTTACTCTTCAATCCCCTAATCTTTGATAAAGACGATAAAGCACATTTACTTTATCAGATTGGTATCAGTGGCATGCAAAGGACAATATAAAACTTATCAATTTTGAATTAAAACTCCACTATTAAATGAGGTTTTCTCTGTAATAAGCATGTTTATGATTCGTTTAGTCTCATAGATAAGCAGCCCCTTAGTTGTACTATGAAAAATAATTATGAAAATACCTACAGGTACTGTAGCACAAAGTATTTAAATATATTTTAGTTTTGACCAAAAATATTAGTAAAATAATACTTGGGAGATTAATCACAGAAGCATAGGCTTCCCAGGGAGATTAGTAATATAAAAAGACTGAAGCCTTTAATGCGTATTACATGGATCTCATGCGTGTAAAAAGAGGCAGGATTTTTATTATCTGGTCCTGTCTGCTATTTAGTCATTTTTATCTGCCCGACAGCACCCTAGTTCAAAATTGTCTCTGAGATATCTAGTTAGAATAGAATAGAATTCTTTATTGGCCAGGTGTGATTGGACACACAAGGAATTTGTCTTGGTGCATATGCTCTCAATGTACATAAAAGAAAAGATACATTCGTCAAGAGTCAAGAATCATAAGGTACAATAATAGTCATAGGGCACAATAAGCAATCGAATCATACTAGGAAACATACATTGTTAGGATACAAGCGACAAAGTTACAGTCATACAGTCACAAGTGGGAGGGAATGGGTGATAAGAAGTGATGAGAAGATTAATAGTAATAGTAATACAGACTTTGTAAATAGTTGACAGTGTTGAGGGAATTATTTGTTTAGCAGAGTGATGGCTTTCAGGAAAAAACTGTTCTTGTGTCTAGTTGTTCTGGTGTGCAGTGCTCTATAGTGTCGTTACTAGTAAAGTACCATTGCATTGGGCTCAGCTCTAAAGACAAATACTTCCCATCTCTCTGTGATGAAGATGAGTGGATTCTAAATAAAATAGATAGATGATAGATAGATAGATAGATAGATAGATAGATAGATAGATAGATAGATAGAGTTGCTTTGATGTTATTCATCTACTTTATCCACTCTCTGCCTCCCCATTTCTCTCTCTTCTCTTGTCAGACTTGCCACATTTAATAATATTTTTTTTGGGGGGGAGGGTGTATCCATCATTCCTGGAGGATAAAATGCTTCTTGCTTTAACATTTTTATAGCATCTTTTGAAATAATAGTTCTTTCATTTTGGTTTTTCACAGGAAAGTAAAAGTATATCTATCAATAAAAACTTGAGGAGCTGATTCATGCCTTGTAGTGTGCTTGATTTACAACTCCATGATACTCTTCATAGTATTTCATCAAAGCATTAATGATTTGAACTTAAGTAAGAAGTCTGTCATTTTTAAAAATGCTTTTGGTGCACTTTCTAATTATGGTATCCCAAATCCATTACCACACGATATCTTGTTCAAGCACCTCTCCATTTACTTGTTTGATGTGAAAACAGAATATATGTGCATGTTTCCTTTGCCCTTTTTCTTCTGGCTTTGACATCACTTTGTTTGTTAAATTGCAATTTTCCGTGACATCTGAGTTGGGGACTTATAGTTTAACAAAATGTGGAAGTACTGAAGTATGAAAAACAGAGGTGGAGGATCAAATACACACAGCTTGCTCCTGATCAAACAAACTGCACCTGGACTCGGATAATTATGTCTGAATTAATGTATCTTTGACTATGCTACGCACACTACTTTCTGTTATAATTGCTGGCTAAAAGATTTAAGGTTTCTATTTCTGAAATTTTTCTTGAAGCAATGGAGAACTGTTACAATCCGAAACATGTTTCCAAATACTGTGCTTTTCCTATCACTAAATATATCTTATAACACATTTTTACTGTATGCCACTAGATACAAAACATAATGTGATGAAACAATGTGCCTGACCTCTTAACTTCTCCTTTTAACAATTTGAGGCTTGGCATATTAACATTCTTGCACAATATTTAATAAAAGTTCTCAGTCCTCCTAGGGATTGTTGCATTAGTTATAAAACCTTTAACTTTGGCACAAATATACATTCTCTTTACAGAAATCATGCCAGGCCACCAATAGAGAAAAAATTATAAGATGAAGAAAGATAAACAATATCAAGTCATCCTGAAATGACAATTGCTATGTTTTAAGGGTAGGCTGAAATTCTTTGCTGTTGGGGCATCTTTAACAAACAACTAAATGACTAAAAAAAATGTCCAAAATTTCTAGCCAATTGTTAACCTTGGTTACAATCTTGCAGTGCTTTATTGGTGTCCACTGGTTCTCTAAGGGCTTTTAAACTGCCACTCCTGACTATTATTTTCTTTGATGTACAGGTAGTCCCTGACTTATGACCCCAATTGACCCTCAAAATTATGTTGCTAAATGAGACATTTGTCAAGTGAGTTTTGTCTCATTTTACGACCTTTCTGGCCACAGTTGTTAAGTGAATCACTACAGCTGTTAAGTTAGCAACACAGTTCTTAAGTGAATCTGGCTACCCCATTGACTTTGCTTGTCAGAAGTTTGGAAAAGTTGATCACGTAACCCCAAAACATTGCAACCTTTATAAATATGAACCAGTTGCGGATTTTGATCACATGACTATGGGGATGCTGCAACAATTATAAGTGTAAAAATGATCCTAAGTTGCTTTTTTCAGTGCTGTTGTAACTTTGGTCACTTAATGAATGGGTGTAAGTCGAGGACTACCTCTTCATATACAATAGTGGCAGCTTTTCCCCCTAATAATTTATGCCAGCTTGATCATTCTTTCCCATGGCACAGGTGTCCACAGCCGCTGGGTGGCCCATTACCAGGCCATGACCCATTCAGAACCAGGCCACATTAGCAGGAGGCCAGTGCGCATGTACGTAGCTTGACTTGCGTGAGCAGTGGGCTGGCACGCATGCATGCAGCTTGACTTGCATGACTGGTGGGCTGTTAATCCCCTGGCCCATTGCTTGTGTAAGCCAGTTTCCTCCCCCCACATCGCTGGGCCACCAAGCCATAAAGGTTGGGGACCACTGCCACAGCAGCTATAGGTTAGAATCATAGGGAAAATGTAGGCTATCTGTTCTCTCTTTGATTGAAAAGTAGTACAAGTACTGTGACTGCCACTACTATCTGTATTATTGTTACTTTATTAGTTTGTATGTGATTTTTCCTGTATTTTATGTCTATGTTTTATGAAGTATTGGTTGTGTATTTTTATTCCATTCTCTGGTTTAATAAACATTTTATTTTTTATTAACTATATAGTCACTGATAAGATAGCACATAATCAGAGTTAGAAAGCAATAGTTGATAGCTGAAAAATACTCAAGTTGTGAATGAATTCTGAAATCCACAATTTTAGGAAATATGGCTTAAAGAGAAATATAGCAGTATATGGACCTCATAGAATACTCTGATATAATAATTTAAATATAATACATTTAAATGAGCATTTCATTCCTTGTTAAGAAAAAAAAATCTTGTTTCTATTCCACTTCTCAAATTTCAGCCCAAATTGGGCTGAGGTAAGGAACTTCTTGTAGTAGGGGAAATCCAGACTTACAGATTTTATGTTGTGGCTGATAACTTACAAATAATTCTTCACAATTAGCTTTATGCTTTGGTGGGTGAGCTTTCTTGTAAATTTGCATTAATTGCTCTCTTGAGCCATTCAAGGACTTGTAATTGTTTTTATGTCAAGTTTGTTTTAGCAAATTGGATGATGAGTTCTATAATGACTACTAATTACATAATTAGTAGTTCTCTTGGTTCTTAAAATTTGGTGTTTTATCTTAAGTGCTTTTACCATCCTGATGTTGTATTTCTTTGGACTTCTCTAATGCTCAGAATAGCCTATATTTTGTATCAATGAATGAAAGGTTAATTTTATTTTATTTTCTATTTCAGATCAAGTGGGGAGCCTGTGGTCTTGTGCTGGCTGGAAATGCTGTAATTTTTCTTACAGTTTTAGGCTTTTTTGTTCTATTTGGCAGAGGAGATGATTTTACCTGGGAGCAATGGTAGAATTTACTGAGATATTCATCTACAGTACATATGTCACACAGCCTTCCTTGATCTTTGTTCATTTACTTATTATTATTTTGGTGTGTATATGGATATACTATGTATACATATGCACATGTCAATGTATTTAGTGTATGAATAATTTGATCAGTATTAGCTTAACATAAAGGAAGTGTACCTTATATACTACTACCTTTATTATGAGATACAAGTAAATTTCCACAGTACTGTGGGTGATGTTTTGAGAATGCAAGAAAAACTATGCAAGTAAAGATTATTTTGTAATAATGGGGGGCTTTCTTCTGAGTTTTTGAATTAGGAATCACATTTGCAATTTGACTTTAAAGCAGGATAATAAAAGATATTAATTTATCTTCAAGGTAAATACATCATAATTCTTCAATATAAACTGTTTACTACTCAAAGAGTCAGCATATTAAATCACTCCGGTTTCATATAGTTTTGAGACGCAGTTGCCAGATCCACTGACTTTAGAGCAAAAAGCCATCTTGATATCCTTTTATCTTCTGCATGATTAAGAAAATAGGACACAATCTTGTGTATACCACGATTGGATCCAGGTTCTGCCACCAGTGAACAGAAAAAATATTTTCCTCCACTAGAAACTTCTGATCCAGCAGAAGAACTCTACTTTTGCAATACAAAAAGATGTGGCAATCTTGGTTTATTTCTCCTGCAATCTTTAATCCTGCTTCTCGCAAATATGTTCTAGAACAGGGGTTCCCAACCTGGGGTGCAAGACGATATTCCAGGGGGTGCGAGAAAAGTCCAGGTAAATAATAGGATATTGGCTATATGTTGGCATTTTTATTTATTTATTTCAGGGGGTGCGAGGTTCGAGTGAAATTTCTTTAGGGGTGCGGGGTGAAAAAAAGGTTGGGAACCATTGTTCTAGAAGATTGAAGCGGTTTTCACAACATTGGGAGAGAAATGCTTGGGCGGGGGGTTGGACTAGATGACCTACAAGGTCCCTTCCAACTCTGTTAATCTGTTAAATGCTCCCAAGGTGGGAAAACCTGTGTCCTGATTTAACAATATCGCTTTTTGAGAATTCCTTTAAATAAAAAGCCAGTTTTTATAAAAATGAAGTTGCTAAACCATGGATGCCTATCTGGAAGTAGGTTTCATTTAATATAATGAAGCATATTTCTGAGTAAAGATGTGCCCTATAAATATTAAATAGAATGGTGGTATTCTATCGGTTCAGCCTGGTTTGGCTGAACCAGTAGCTCCAACAATCATTTATGAGCAAACTGGTTCGCTCTGATGATCAGCTGTTGGGTTCTCCTATCTGCCCTGGCTCTATACTGGCCTTTATTTCCTGCTTTTCAACCTCAGCTGCTTTGTGCGGCACAGCCGATTGCTGCGCATCAGCTGTTGAAGACCCAGGAAGAGTGCAGGATTGCAGGAGATTGCAAACCCTCTGCGAGTATACGCAAAACGCGCCCACCAAGCCATGCCCACAGAACCGGTGGTAAAAAAATTTGAAACCCACCACTGATTAAATAAACACTTTGCTTTGGTTTCTGTTGCACTTTAGAAAGCTACATGTGTATTTTCCATCCCCAAATAAGTATACAATTTGTGTAGTAAAATGATCTATTAGTTTAATAATGATGTTCATAAATCATATTACTTTTCAGTAGGTATTAGACTATTGGTTTTTTCCCCCTTTAAAATAGGAATACACTCTTTGGAAGATGAGGGAAATCTGTTTTGTTTGTTTCTGGTATAAATAACTAGTTGGTAAATTGTTTGAAATAAAATTGTTAGGTTCATAAAGATTCACAATAGCTTTAAGTAACAATCTCCAACTTAGTCATCCTACAACTATATGTCAGCAAATATGTACTCTAGTAGTTTTCATTAGATGGTAGAAAAGCAAACTTCAAAGAGTCTAAGGAGGGAATATTTAAATAATTCCCAGGACTCTGTCTATGTTGAGAAGGGATTGTTTAAAATCTGCAATAACCAATGCAGTTTTGAGTAGTCTCTTTCCTTTTTGGGGAAAATTGAACAGAAAGAAATTTATGTAGTTTAAGTACTCACATCTTAAACATCCCAGAAAAGAGCTCTCCTCTTCCTTTCTCATTTCATCCCATTCTCCTGTAAAAAGTCCAAAAATAAAAAGCCCTCTGTTATATTATTTTCCCAAAGAATTCCCTGCCATCAGTTGCCTTTCTGCACAGCATTACATCCAACTTAGTGGAAAGAACCTGCAATTCTTTACACTATATTTTACTTTACACTTTTATACACTATGTATAAAAACTGCTTCGCTTTGGGGAGGTCTGATTTTGAAAAGAAACTTTTGCATTTTCTCACTATAAAAATGTTATAATGATTTTATAATCTGTATCATGTGAAATACTGAAATTGTGCAATATGTTTGTGACGTGAAACACATATTTTCGATCTTTAATAAAATAAGATTTTAACATTGCTGTCAGGTATCCTGAATTATTTTGTGTCACCTTGCATCTGATTAGAAATTGCAATTAAAGATTACACTGATCTTACGTAAAGCAGTATATGCCAATAATAAAACCTTCTGTAGCATTTTTCCCCTATAGGGGAGAGAAAATCCTTTGAAACATTTCAAAGTCAACTTATTTGTATTTTCCTATCTAAAATGTGTACTTAACAGGAAATATAAACAGTGTATTCCATACAGCAATGGTTATTGGCTTTAAAATGAAGTGTGCTCCTTTTTAAAGTATATGGGTAGTCCTTGATTTACAACAGTTTGTTAAGTGACTGGAGTTACAACAGCACTGACAAGTGACTTATGACCATTTTTCACACTTACGACTGCTGCAATATCCCTATGGTCACATCAAAATTCAGATGCTTGGCAACTGACTCATTTTATGACGGTTGCAGTGTCTCAGGGTCATGTGATGACCTTTTGTGACCTTCTGACAAGCAAAGTCAATGGGGAAGCCAGATTCAATTCACACCCATGTTACTAACTTAACAACTGCAGTGATTCATTTAATGGTTAAGATTGTAAAATGGGCCAAAATTCACTTCAGAAATGTCTTGCTTAGCAACAGAAATTTGGGGCGCAATTGTAGTCATATGACAAGGACTATCTGTATTGTATTGCACTGCATGCATGTAGAAGGGAATAGGACTTTGATTGCCTACTTGCATCTGACATTTTGAAGCTAGTGACCATTATTAGGGATGCTTCTGGCTAGGCATACTTAGGAATTCTACTTCAGTAACATTTGGAGAGCCATAGTCTCTATTCCTATTTAACATATTGATCAACTGGGTGATTTCTTAATTGTACAGCTTTCTTAAACGTAATTGTGTGGAATCTAGTGACTCTAATACAGAGATGGTATTCAGCAGGTTCTGTCCAGTTCTGGAGAACCGGTAGCAGAAATTTTGAGTAGTTTGGAGAACCGGCAAATACCACCTCTGACTGGCCCTGCCCCCATCTATTCTCTGCCTCTCGAGTCCCAGCTGATCGGCTAGGTCTTCTTTTGTTGCCCTGCACAGGAGAACGGAGCTGGAAAGTAGGTTAGTGGAGTGGGGAGGGAATGGGATTTTGCAGTAATCTTCCCCCAGGAGTGGGGAGGGAATGAGGATTTTACAGTATCCTTCCCCTGCCATGCCCACCAAGCCACACCACGCCCATCAAGCCACGGCCACAGAACTGGTAGTAAATTTTTTTGAATCCCACCATTGTTCTAATATGCTGATGCACTGAAGTTGTTGGAAATAATAGTGATTTGTGATTTTTCTTAATTATTCAGTTGCTGATTTTAAAAGTACTCCAAACCTATAATGTCTAAATGATAATTATTTAAAAAAAACAACACGGATACATTGCAGTTTGGAAAATACATGTTACTCAGTGGCTGTTTGAATAGGTATTCTATGGCTGCATTATTCAGATAGCCTGAAGACTAACAATTCAACAGTAATTTTTAAATAAAGTATCTTGGCTGTTCATATGATCAGTAAAATGAAGCCATGCCTCCTTTGGTTTTTTCCCTTTGGCATCTTGTGAAAGAATAAGTTAATCATTTTTAGTGTTGTAAAATCATTCTGATGATTAATTTATAAAATTCATTTCATGATGTGGCTCAGGGTGTTATGAGTTTGGTTTATAATTGTGGATAATTGGTTTTTGAGTCAAGGTTTCAAGTCTCAGACATAAGTTTAAATATATTGAACAAGGTTTGAAAAGGAAGTCAAATGGCAATTTATGTTTTCAAATAATTTATTTACTGACATTCCAAATATCACTCTTTGATTTGAACCATACATTATATCAATATGTTTACCAGGGTAAGTACACTCATCCAATTGTAGTTACTCAATCATTTCCCCAAAGAAATATTTGTTTTAAGCATGTAAATGTTGTGCCCTTTCTTCTTTTATCTGCCTGTACACATATTTATCATCTAATTGATTTTAGGGTAAGTAACACTACATCCAATGCAAAAATTTAATAAAAATAGTAAGGTAAATTGAATGCAACTAACTACCTGTTCCAAAATATAACCATTTATGAATTTCTTACAGATACAAATAATAGAAAAATGTAGCTAAAACTCATTCACGCCAACAACATTACATAGTAAACATCTCCAAATTCTTTTATTTTTGCAATTCATCCTTAAGCTCATCACAATGTTACACTGCTTCATATATTACCTTTTGTTCTTTAAAGCCCAGATACTGAATATTTTTGAGGATTCCATTAACACTATCTCAATGGGATTTTCTTGGCCTTTCTTCTCAATCAAGTTGGTCTTTCTTATATTTATTTTGAAATTTAATCATTCATTTTTGTGTGTATGCCAGAACCACATTCAAAATACTTCTTCCTTAATGGTCACTTGATTTCTGCCCCAATTCATTCTTGACCCAGTTTCCTCTTGCTTACCAAACACATTTCATAAGTATATTATTCCCACCGCATTCAATTTTAGGTTTCTCCTGCCATTCCCAAATTTCACTTTGAAACAACAAAGTGGGCAGAACCACATTATTATAAACAATCATGTTTCCTTTGTTCAGACAATCTTCATTCTTTGCAATAGTTCAACCGTTCTACCATTATTTGTACATCTTAAAATTTCTCCATTTATTTTCTTAATATTCTGCTAAGGTATTCAAATTATCTATCTGATTATTATTTCACCATGTATGTATTACTTATGATTCCTTCTATGTTGCCAGTCAAACATAAGTACCTTGGTTTTTGATACATTTTTTCCCAGAGCCATGCTTTTCACCAAATAATTCAATTTAACATTTGCTGCAAATAATTTGGGATCTTCATTAACAGCACAGCACCATCAGCATACAAAAGTTCATGTAACATGATCCAAACATATAATATTTATAATATGACTGCAAGCATTTCTACATTTTCACCCATAAATATATTAAAGAACAAAGAGGATATCACATTTTTCACTCTCTTAACTGTTGAACTGTTTGCAAAATTTGCTATTCCCATGCATTCATTACTTTAATAATTTACCACACTCTTGTCAAATGTAGCAATTAATTTTGAACTCCATATTCTATGGAGCCAACTTCATGAAAAGTATTCTATTATTCAGTCCTATTGGTGTGTGTATGCGTGTGTGTGTGTGTGTGTGAA